GGGGAAGACTAGGTTTCTAGTTACGCCTCTGCTGTGTAGTGCTGACTTTTCTACTTGCAACAGAGTCCCTGCTAATGCCCCTTACATACCCCCCCTTCTGCAATGACAGGAGACATTATGACAGGGGACGCTGATGAACATTATGTATTCCAAGCCCACACAATGCCCACCAGTGTCCCCTGTCATATTGTCTCCAGTCAGTGCAGAAGGGGGGGGGGGGGTCTGTTGGAGGGGGCTTTAGAAGGGCTGTGCTGCAAGTTTTCTACTTGCAGCGCAGCCCTGCTAATGCCTCCCCAGCTTCTGCACTGACAGGAGACATTGTGACAGGGGACACTGATTGACATTTTACACCACCACGGTTTTTGAGGTCCCCTGCTCTTTTGGGGGACCTGAGAACATGGCAATATGGATGGAGCTCTGTCACAGCACTGCAGCCCCCACTGGACCTCAGGCTGAGGATCCACCACAGTTCTCGATATGATAGGGAGACTGGGTGGATCTTAAAAAAAGGAAATCAAATGTATTTTATTGTGAAGTGTGTATGTGAGTGTGAGAGATTGTGTCTGTGGTTGTGTGTGTCTGACAGTATTTTTGAGGGTCCGTTCACACTAGTACAGAGCGTTAATTGCACAGTCCATTGCGATTACTGCATTGTACCACGCATAAATCGCACCTACCGCAAATTCTGGTGTGGGAGTTGTGTTGCATTGCCATTCATTTGAACGGCACCCCAAACGCATCTCCTGTACACAGTTTGATTGCCCGCATCGGAACGTGCGGTACCTCAATGCCGTGCGTTCCAATGCGGTGCGACTTGCGTCGCGACTTCATGACCAAGGACAAATGTGGGTCCTGAGGTTACACAGGTTGAGAACCACTGGTTTAAAGTATATCTAAAGCCAAAAGTGGGAAATGTTTAAAACATTCTATCAGGGTTGTTCTTTGCCATCTGTGTCCCATTGGGAAGGTTTCCCTTCACTTCCTGCCCCACAGATACAACAGGATGTCAGAGGAAATCTCCTCTTAGACAAGTGTTACCGAATCAAATTTCCCCAAGGAAACATTTTCTGACCTATTCCTGTGACAACGTAACATTTTAGATTTCCCCTCACTTTCAGTCCCGAGAGGGCAACTCTTCCCGGTGGTGCCACAGGCAGCAATATAAACTGCACAGGGGATCTAACCAATCGCCACTCTATGCAGGACATGGCAATGTATGGCTTTAGATACACTTTTTAAAAAATATACACAGACATGCCGAAATCTAGATGCCCTCTCAGTCCCCATTTACACCCAAGCATAATGGGTTTGCATGTTACGTTCACACGCGTTTGTTTCCTGCATTTGCCACACGTTGCCCATTTATTTCAATGCACACGTGACAAATGCAGGAAAGCAGGTCATGTAGAAAATTCTCATATAGCATCTCGTGTTTTTTTCCCCGCAGGTTTGCGTGCCATTAACTGGTAATAGCACTGCAAGCCCGTTGCACGTTGTTAACGCATTCCATGAGAGTTTTTTCCCCCATGTTGGGTACGCTTTCATGGAACACCCAGGTGTGTAGGGGGACTTAGAGAAAAAAAAAAGAATACTGAGCATGGGGTGGGGAAGAGGTGCGGCGCGCAGCGTGTGTGGAGCCGTGAACAGGGCCAACTGATCGGAAGCCGATTAATCGATTATTGAAAAAGTTGACAACTTTTTCAATAATCGATTATAATCGATTATGTCGATTAGTTGTTGCAGCCCTACAAAATACTAGTTAATAATAATGGAGTATTAAAGTGTAACTGAAGCCAAAACCTTTTTTTTTAGTTTAGAGTGGAAGGATTAGAACATCTGTCAGATTTTTATTCCTGCCTGTGTTCCCATTAGGGAGATTCACCCTCTCTATCTGTCCTGGTGACCGTGATCACTGAAAGTGAAAGAAAATCCCCATATTTTGGGTCGACACCAGAACAGGAAAAGATGGGAAATCTTCAAGTGGTGACACTAGTTGTGTTGACCCTGCTGACCATCAGAGATTTCCCTCTATTTGGAGGGATTTCCGCTCATGGCTTTCAGACAGGAAGTCAAGGGAAATCTCCCCAATGGGACACAAATGACAAAAAAAAACAAGCTGACAGGGGTTGTACCTGTAAAACTGTATAATGAAAGTGTGGCTTCGGAGTCTCTGTATAGAACATAGGGAGAAGATCCGGGCTAGTTTGCTGTAGAATTTACCTGTTCGATGACATAGAAGGAAAATTCTAAGCGCTGTCTCTGCAGCATGGGTATCAGGTGGCGGAAGAAAATCGGCAGGTGTTCATGGCGATTTCGGAATGGAATCAGGATCGCTACCTGCAAAAACGATAACACATATACATATGACTTCTCCGTGGTTACACATATAATAAACACATAACATATGATAACACATATACATATGACTGCTGCGTGGTGAACATTTGACAAACAAATCAGAGAAACAAGTTATGGGGCTCAGGATGATCTTTAAAACATGGAAATCATTGATCTGTTTTTATACACAGCTGCCGAGCAAAAAGGAAACAGTTCTATCGCCCAACAGCAGCATGGGCAGCGACAGCATTTTTTACTGATTCATCTAAAGCATGGCAACATGCTCAGCACTTTACACGGAGCCATAAAACTCTGTGTCCCCATCCCAGCGACACAGATCCACAGGCTCTGCTCCCTGCCATTCCATATACAGGCTCTGCTCCCTGCCATTCCATATCCAGGCTCTGCTCCCTGCCATTCCATATCCAGGCTCTGCTCCCTGCCATTCCATATCCAGGCTCTGCTCCCTGCCATTCCATATCCAGGCTCTGCTCCCTGCCATTCCATATCCAGGCTCTGCTCCCTGCCATTCCATATCCAGGCTCTGCTCCCTGCCATTCCATATCCAGGCTCTGCTCCCTGCCATTCCATATCCAGGCTCTGCTCCCTGCCATTCCATATCCAGGCTCTGCTCCCTGCCATTCCATATCCAGGCTCTGCTCCCTGCCATTCCATATCCAGGCTCTGCTCCCTGCCATTCCATATCCAGGCTCTGCTCCCTGCCATTCCATATCCAGGCTCTGCTCCCTGCCATTCCATATCCAGGCTCTGCTCCCTGCCATTCCATATCCAGGCTCTGCTCCCTGCCATTCCATATCCAGGCTCTGCTCCCTGCCATTCCATATCCAGGCTCTGCTCCCTGCCATTCCATATCCAGGCTCTGCTCCCTGCCATTCCATATCCAGGCTCTGCTCCCTGCCATTCCATATCCAGGCTCTGCTCCCTGCCATTCCATATCCAGGCTCTGCTCCCTGCCATTCCATATCCAGGCTCTGCTCCCTGCCATTCCATATCCAGGCTCTGCTCCCTGCCATTCCATATCCAGGCTCTGCTCCCTGCCATTCCATATCCAGGCTCTGCTCCCTGCCATTCCATATCCAGGCTCTGCTCCCTGCCATTCCATATCCAGGCTCTGCTCCCTGCCATTCCATATCCAGGCTCTGCTCCCTGCCATTCCATATCCAGGCTCTGCTCCCTGCCATTCCATATCCAGGCTCTGCTCCCTGCCATTCCATATCCAGGCTCTGCTCCCTGCCATTCCATATCCAGGCTCTGCTCCCTGCCATTCCATATCCAGGCTCTGCTCCCTGCCATTCCATATCCAGGCTCTGCTCCCTGCCATTCCATATCCAGGCTCTGCTCCCTGCCATTCCATATCCAGGCTCTGCTCCCTGCCATTCCATATCCAGGCTCTGCTCCCTGCCATTCCATATACAGGCTCTGCTCCTTGCTATTACATACACAGGCTCTCTTTGCTGCTATCACATATATAGGTTCTCCTTCCTGCTTTGTAGTCCTGTGCAACAGTTGCCAAGTTCACTAGACTAAAAAAAACTTGAAATATATTCAATTTGTGTAAAAACTGCTAATTCTAACAATTTACAACTTGTATTACCAAACAAAACCTGACTGAGATGGAGAAACACTTCGCCTTAATTTGGCTGATGCTGCAATGATAAGCTCATGGTTTACAAAATGTCATTATTATTTAAATTGAAGTTTAGAGAAACAGACAAATACTGCTGAAATGTGTATGATGGAGCCGTTTTATCTCTCAAAGACTTGATATTTCTGTCCATCCAGGCTTGAGAGTTATACAGCACAGCCAGGTTGCTGATCACCTCTCTACCCCCAGCTTGCCACGGGACAATGAAGGAGAAGACTGATGAGCTCATCCCTCTGCTTTCACCATCTGTTAGCATGCTGCTAGCGAGCACATGTGTAAGCAAGAGAACTTCATTGGCTCAGAGGCTGCACCAAACCCTAAGTATCTAAGATCTCATAACATGTACATGAATGTGGCACAGGGCTTCAATGAAACCCTGACATAAGCTCCAAAATACAACGTATACTGCTTATGTCTGCATCAGAGAGTGGCATGAGTAACTCTGGAATGCAGTTTTATTGAGATTAACTATTTATAAACTATTCCCACAAGGGGAATGAATACAAGGCCATTTTTAATCTCTGCTTCCTTGAAAAGCAAATTCCTTTTCGTTGCACAAGTTATTTTAAAGTTTATTTCCTTCTAAATGATTGCGTGTGCAAGACAAAACAAAAAGCAACACACATTAGCCAGAGCATATAGCAGCCAAAGCTGTATTCAGGTAACACTCTGCCATTAGTGACAAAGTAAACACTACTGGGTCCCTAATTACCCAACAGCATTTCAAGCATGTACATCAAGAATGAAGACTCATCACTCTTACATGCACATACCTGCCCTGCACATTACTAATCGTAATGTACAATCAGATACAAGTTACATGAGGGTGGACGGTGGAAACCAGATACACTTGCCAGTTACTGTAAAGGGACAGGAGGTAATTCCAGGAAGAATATTGATCTCACTACTTATAAAATGATAGACTAAAGTTCACATATTTCAAAGAACACAGAGATAAAGGTTAACAATCAAACAGGAAGATAGTCCTGTGCCAATGTAACTGTGCTGACAAGAACAACATGCACAGGGTTCTTTCTATAAAACTTGGACAATGCCCAACACAATGAATCATTTTCCCAGGGATGTGTGTACAGCAATGTTGGACAAATTAATCTTGAATTTAGGAGCCAGTGTGTCCAATCCAGGAGCAAGCTTAATTTGTTTTTTTTATGAGCCAGCTCCCGTGACAACAACTAGAGAAAAGCTCAAAAGTTAGGCACCAGCCGTCGTTTCTAAGGCCTGGTTCACACCTAGGCGTATTGCATGTGCGCGTCTGTCGCGCGGTTTTTTAACCGCGATTCGCGGTAAAATAATCGCGCGACAAACCCGCGTTTCCGAGGGCTACTTGGCTGTATCCCAATGGAAACGCGCAACAAAAACGGCCCAAAGTAGTACATGTACCTTTTCAGGCGTGGGCCGTTTTGTAGCGCGTTAGGGACAGGCTGAAATACGCCAAGGTGTGAACCAGACCCATTGAATACAATGGGATTTAGATGTTTGAGCGTTTTGTAGAGCGTTCGTCGAGCATAGAACGCGCTACAAAACGTTCAGGTGTGAACGAGGCCTAAAGAGCATTGGCTACCTGGCTCCTGGGATTTTTTCAACCCTAGTTTACCATCCAATCTGATTGGTCACTATGAAACATGGCTTCACCTTTTCTATCATCCACATTTGTAGAATCAGAGGAATAATGGACACGTCGACTAACCTTTTTAGAACAATAAAGCCACAATAGAAGACATTTGAAAACACATTTCTGTATTTAATCTAATCCATGTTACAGCTATGACATCGATTAAGGCTAAAGCAGAGGGGATTAAGTCATTATGCTGAAACTTTTCTCTCTAATCTTCCTAGGATCATTTCGTTTGACAGATCAATGTAAAGTTGAGCAAACATAATTTGCTCCAATAAAAAAAAAACTGCACAGTTCTTCATTGTAATTAAACAATAAGTGTTCGAAAAGAAGATTTGTTACATTAGGGTTGCTTGAGGCGTGTCCAGGGCTTCACCCATCTGACAGACAAAACATTTTCTGGGGACAGAAAGAGCTTTCTTTTGGAGGTATATAATCACCTTGCGTATATTTATAATATATGTATCAATTATAAGCACATAAATAAATATGAAAGGAGGAATTTAAAATATATCTAAGTCACAACTTTTTCTTTTATGTTGGATAAAGTAGGGTAAGGTGAAAAACCACAGGTAGTTTTTTTTTGCTATATGTGCCTCATCGGCGAGATTTACCTTCACTTCCTGTCTTCCAGAGAATATCTAATGTGGGAAATCCTCTCTTACACAGTTGTCACAGAAACAAGTGTCCCCAGTGGAATATTTCCTCTTTAAAATGTTGGCTTTACCTTCACTTTCATTCCTGGTGACATTGGTGATTAGGACAGTTGGAGAGAATAAATCTCCCCAACGAGGACACTGGACAGTGGTTCTAACCCCTTACCACCTTATCCAAATATAACTAAAAAGGTTTGCCATTAGTGATAATTGAATATGACCACATAGAAAATTTGAAGCTAATGAGTCAATATCACACGTTGGAGTTTTGGGGCTTGTTTATGCGCGAGTCTAACAGGTTTGTGTGGTTCTTTTGGGTTTTATGTTAATCTGCAGTTATATAATTCTAGGATAACCCAGCTTGTAGTAAATTACTGTAGAGCTGCAACAAACTATTCGATTACTTGATAATAATTGATGAGAATAGTTGTCAACTATCCTCATTATCGATTAGTAGGTTGGATCCCCTAGCTCTCTCCTCCACACTGGGAGGAGGGCACAGCAAGCAGTGGGCGGATGCAATAGCCAGCCTGATATTGTAATTTGAAATGGCCAAATTACACCAGCCCACTACCTGTTGTATTTACATTCAGCTGCTGTCTGCAGAATCTTGCCACTGGCTGCCGACATTCCCTGGCTGAAGCTACTCATGCACCATGTGCTTACAATACAATTATTTAAAAAAATAAAATTATAAATGGTTGTAAAAAAAAAAAAAAAAAAAAGTATTTTTTGCTTTTGGCCTGATAAATTCTGCTGCAGGAGGTGCGTTGCAGTGCCAGTCATTTCAATGGCACCCCAGACAGGGCACCCACCCACAGTGTGATCCCCTACACTGGAATGCACGGTACCGCAATGCTGTGCGTCCCAGTGCATTGCAATTGCAAAATATTGTGCATGCAGTTTTATTCTGAAGCTTTGTGTGTGCAACAATGCATTTGTGTATTTTATTTTAAATTAAGGATGGCATTTAATTCTTTTAATCCGAATAGCCATCTAATCGAATATGAAAATAATCATTAGTTGCAGTCCTAAATTAGTGCTGCAGACCTGAGATTGGTGAAACACGCAAGTTTATAGCCATCAAGCAGGGAGAAGACTCAACAGGCACCAAATGCACTTTCTTTGCTCTAGTGAAAATAACAATCCTGGCATGTCAACGCCCATAGGAATCTTAACAGCCTTGTCTAAGACAACTGAGATGACAGCAGAAAGTTTACAGGAGCAGCGGGCGACCTTCTCTTTTGTTCAATACTCAGATAGAAGTCCACTGGTCCTAAATGCAACTCATCAAAAGGTTACTTTATTTAATCACCATGGCTAGGCAGAAAAAAGCACCAGCCTGTCCTAGAGGTATAAAAAGGCAAAAACACAAATATTCACAAACCAATTAAAAAAAAAAAAAACACACAAAAAAACCCCATAAAGTGGGTAGCTGTGGGCATAGCATTCTGTTTAAGCTTTTCTTCTCTTGTTTTTTTTCCCCCCGTATCTCTGTAGGTTGGACTCGATGGACTTGTGTCTATGTATATTTTTATAGATTTTTTTCTTGAACATGAGTATACATAAGCATTCAAAAACATTTAGGCTTCCTTTACTAAAAGGAGTATTTTTTGTTTCATAAAGGGTTCTTTATTGGTGCACTGTGGCCAGCATAAAAATCCTAGATCATCTGCTACTTATGGGCACATGCTTGTTGGAGTTCAGGTTCTCGCTGTTAATTTAATATAAATATATTTCCCATGAATGCCGTTTACTAGTGAAGTGCATGAGGAAAATTCCCATGAACATTTCCTGTAAACTCTAAGCTTCAATAAGCATTTGCTGGGTGTGTCCTAGATACAGCTTCCTAGCTGCAAGTAGATACACAAACATGCACTGGAGTAAGTCAGTAATGGCAAAAGCTGCTAATCCACAAAAGCGCAAGAACAACATTTGAAAAAGGTAGTTAATTACTGAACAAATGTTTTCAAACAGCATTCCAAGATATTTGAAAAAGTAACCTTTAAAATAATGGCCTCTGATCATTTATAGTTCCTCATTGCACCTTTATAAAACAACTTGGGCAATCATTTTCTTAGATTCCTTATCTACAGAACACGTCCCATAAAGCCCTTCAAATGGTACCTTATACCATTTTACAACCCAGGAAAAACTGTTAGAGAGCACAAATGTTGCCAAGCCCATAAAGATGGAGTTAACAGATGGAAATGACCTTTGGAAAATGTCTCCCACTAACCCTCTATGGATCAGAGCATGAACATGCCCCATAATACATACACCTGCTCATGGCATAGATGATTGAATATTGGGACAATTATTTACAAATCTTCATATATTGTCTACATACATAGTTACATAGTATTTGAGGCTGAATAAAGACATAAGCCCATCCAACCTATTGTGTGTGTGCATTTATCTTTGAGCTGGTGTATGAGTCCATGTGTAATTTTGGTCTTAGGAGTACCTGTACCCCTATATGTTACGGTCTCAGAGGAACTCGTCCAATAGTTTCTTGAATGATTCCACACTCTTAGCTGAAATCACCTCCTGCGGCAGTGAGTTCCAGACCTTAACCGCTCTAACTGTGAAGAACCCCTTGCGCCCCGTGTGTTGACATTTTTTTCCCACCAATTTTTGGTGGTGTCTTCTGGTCTTTGTTACCGAGTTAACCGTAAAGAGTTTGTTAGAAATGTGTTAGTTTGTTTGTTAGTCTAGACTTCTTTCAGTTTACATCCTGAAATAGGTGCAGGCAAGCACCCAATGCAGACATTTTTAGCTTTTACTAAATGCTAGGTGGGCACCTAAAACAGCAGCAATTACCCAGCCTAACACAGACAGCATCCATCATGAAATAAGTTCTAAATGATGATGGATATCCCACCATCTCTGCCTTGGATATTTACATTTTGTAAATAAATATGGTCTTTGGATTGGCTTTTAACTAGTATCAGGCACTGGAGGTAAATTAATTTAAGGCAAAAGATTTTATGGTTGACGATTCTGCTGACAATAGCAGAAAGATGGTCTGCATTGTATGTAACACTACTCATTGATTTACGGATATAGTAATGGGGAAACAGAACTGGGCCCTGAAACATCTGTAGCAGTGATGAGTGAGAATCCGGGATGAAAATATTTGAAAGAAAAACCCTTCACAGGAACCCCCAATAGCACCCAACTAGATCCTAACATTTGTGCACTGTAAACATGTGACACCTATCTGCAACACAGCCACTTCTTTCACAAGTAGTCCAGAATGCTTGCTCCCATCCAAGCGCATCACAAGGTCTTCATGAGGTGAACCTGCACGTTGCCCATTTTCCCCTCATTGCTCATTCTTGCCTTGTGCTTGTTTGCTGTTCGAGGGTTGTCTAGACAACACATGGACCTGGAGATTGGCTACTCAGGCATCTAGGACTGCATCACAGTAGAGGAGAAAGTCACATGCCACCCCATTCCTAGAAGTAATGTATATTTCAGACTCCACGACTTGTCCTAAAGTCAAGTGATACAGTAAGGGGCCCATTCACACCTACACATTGTGGCAACACACGATGCTCCACATATAGGTTGGTGCATTGCGGTGTTATTTATTTTCAATGGCACTTCAAGCAATAAGCAAAGGCACATGTACTGCAGCACACCGCAATGCCCAAGTATACACTACCACATGTTGTGGTGAGCTGCGTTGCTAAAAATTGTGCATGTTTGTTCTTTGGTCCATTCTAGCATGTTGGTAAATCATTCAAATTTATGGGCTGCCTTAATGCAACGTAACAGGCATGTTAACACAATGCTACAGGACAGAAGTGTGTAAATGGGCACCAACAGTGCCACGAGGCAAAGGGATTCCATTAATGGAGGTGTCCACCAAGTACTGCAGCATAATTTCTGGGTAAAACATCTATAAAAGGTGAGTGACTTCAGCTAATAGACTACCTTGTTACACATCAGCACTAATACTATCGATCTGCCTGGCCCAAATTATATAGTAAATTATATATAGTAACATGCTTTACTGATTCTCTCACCTTCCACCGAGGAGTGCAGTCTGTGGGCTTCCAGTGTCCTCCAGCTCCAATACCCATATCGGCAAACATCTGATGAACTTCCTCTAATGAGATCTCACTCATATTAATATCTGTAGGCCCACCTGCACCAAAGAACATTTCTAATTAGAAGTCTGTATTTTGCTATGTTGCACATGACAATGGAAACAATAAAAAAAAAACTAAAAAAATGTAAAATAAAATCAGCAATAGAAAAGAAAAAAAAAAAACAAGGAAATCGTGAAATAAACATTTGTTTATATGGCCTGATGCAACATGAAGAGGAATGTTACGACTTACAGGCATATATGGGAACTGTTACAATACCACCGTAAAGGTTAAGTCTGCAACTTCCTTATAGAGCTTACAGATTGTAATTACAGTGCTTCAGATAAGATTTCACGTGGCATGCCGCACAGATCACACTTCACTGCGCACAATGGCAACACACACCAATGCAGATCCAATCTCTTCATTAAGAAGGTATCAGCTAAGAAAGAGGACCAATCTAATGAGTCTTGGACAGAAAAGTCCTTCTGGTTGATATTTATTGATGTGTGGCTGGCCTTTTTGTAAAGCTTAGTGGTCTCTGCACATATGCACCATAGTGCAGAGACCACTCAGGTCTGACAGGAAATATCCCTCCAATAACAGGGCAATGATAGCAGCCTTCCTTCTCTTAACAAACGGAACCTGAACTGAAGAAATTGCATATTTTTGGGTTTAATTCAAAGCAGACATTCACCCTCATTTTCCACTTTCCCAAACATTTTTTACCCTACCTGTGCCAAGAATCGCATATAATATTTTTTTTGTTTTAGGTAAATACATTTTTTCAGGTCCCTGTCCTTCCATATTTGCGGCACAAAGTGGAACTCCAGGACTTTGAAAAGTTAACCCTTGCAGTGGGGCTACCCCTGCACTGCAAGGATTAACTGCTTGTTTTGCTTAGTGTGTGAAAATAAGAGATATTCACCAGATCCTTGGTCCCACCTGGCTGCTAGACTAGTCCCGGTTTAGTAGCCTCATCTCCCCTTGACTCCAGTGTTCTAAGGACCTGTGACGTCATCACGTCTATACGTGTCTATTAGACATGAAGACGCTGAGGGACATGGCACAACCGGAGAGATGCGAGCAGTCAATGCCACAGGACCGAGGATCAGGTGAGCATTTTTTCTTTATTTTGTTTATTCTGCATTCTGGAGACTAGCTCAGTTTTTTTTTTTTTATGACTTGAATCCATAACAGGAATTTAAAGCTGAACTCCAAGGATGAAAAACACAAAAACATTCTTCAAAAGCCACAAAGGATACAAATTCACATTGTAAGCACCAAAAGTCTATGCAAACCTAGCACAAACATCATCACTATTCTGCACATGTGCAGAGAGCAGGGCCGTGGAAGGGACCCGACAGGTCCACCCACTACATGCTTCCTGCAGAAAACTAAAGGAGGGGGCAGATACAAGACCAGTCACCCTGCACAAGGAGAGAGAGCAGTAGTGACTGGTCTATATTAAAGAAAGCCCCTGCACAAAGACAACATTTCACACTGGATTACTGCACAGATCTGGAAGAAATACACAAAGTACACCCAGATTCAAGTAGGGATGTACTTGCCTTTTGTATTTAGATAGGATAAGATTAGCTTATCCCAGAGTTCGGCTTTAAAGGTCAAATGATGTAGCATATCAAAATCAGAAAAAAAAAAAAAAGATAAGAAATTAATCTAACATGACCAACTGGAAACATTTTTTATTATGCTTCAATAAGTCGGAGCCAAAAAACAGAAATATATCTGTGACTATGCATGGAAAAAGTAGGAAAGCTAGCAACTATATCACTGGACAATTAGTTTGAATAGAGTGCACACTAGCACCAAAATGTCCTTTGCAAAGCTCATAAACTGGCCCCCATCTATAGAGCAGGCACCTCAATTATTTTCATGGAGCACTGCTATGGAACCTGCGACCCAAGCATGCATGCTCACGCTCTGTCCTGTGCCAAAGACCTCTCTACTGGCCACCCAGTGTTATGGGGGCAAACCCATAGATTTAAGAAGATCGCTAAATGTAAAGACACATTGAAAAGCACTTAAAAGGAGAACTATGAGGTGAGTGCTTTTCCTGTCACGGCTCTCTGCCGTGACAGGGGGAAGGGCTGGATTCCCCTCTCCCCGCTCCGATCTGCCAGCGCTGACTGGCGGAACGGACGGGGGAGGGGCGGGTACAGCTGGCTCTGCCTCTAGATAGGCAGAGCCAGCTGTTACTTACGCAGCTGGGCGGATCCCGTCGTCTAAGTCAGGATCCGCTCCGGCGTCTCAGTATACCGCGAGCTGTAGCTCGCGGTATACTGAGCTTAGGCTAACGGGAGGACGCTAGTTTGTGTCCACCCGTTACCCTAAGGAGAACTATGGGGAAAAACACTGACCCCATAGTTCTCCTTTAAGAATAAATACAAACTTCAGAAAAGTACACAAACTGTCTGCTCTTCAGACTCTTGTTAGTTTTACAAAATGTCACAGTTTTTCTAGAACACCTTTGTACGTATTTACTTAGATGGCCATGGATGCTGCGTACAGCACCACTGCGAGTACAGCACCACTGCGTAAACAAGTCATTCTCCAGTAAACGCTAGATGAATGGGTACCTAAAACATGCAGTTTGATACAGATACAAATTCACTGTTGTGGGAATAAAACCTCTAGAAACAGGCAGAAGAACACCAGGCCAATAATCAATACAAAATACTTACGCATAAACGGCAACTTTTCCGGACAAGGAAGGTTTGGAGAGAATGTAAAGTTTTCAGGCAGATACATTGTGGACTGTGCGGTGAAATCAGTAGAATTTGTACCATCTGGGTAGTCTGCAATGGAACAAGAGAGAAATGAATGAATATTTGGACAGTTTCCGGTTATATTACATCTGCAAGTAAAACATTCCAGAATCCCTGTATACCACCTGACATACATGACAACTGCCCCGATAGGCATTTGTCAAGTGGAACAAGTGTACGTACTGCAAGATATCCCCTCCGTTCCTGTTGACAACTCATTCTGGATTCTCCCTGGCTTTCAATCCCGATGACAGTATCTTCTGGCACATAGGGAGTTCAGATATTTACCGTGCATGGTACACCACCAAAGAGCCCCCTGCACCTTTCCCAGAACAGAAGAGTTGGTGCTGACCTACTGAAATGGTCATGGACTCTTTATAGCGATGAGGGACTTTGTGCATGGACTTTGCTGTACACAGTTACCAAGATCCAGTTATTTACTACCCTGCTGGATATGTCACTGACTCTACTAAATGGAGAGGTAAGACATTCATGGCATGGGGTGCAGCCAGGAGATTTAGTGGAAAGATCTTGCCACTGGAACCTTAAGATTGAAGATTCAACCAGTGGAGCATTTATGCAAAACAAAGATCAGTTTTAGGTGTAGTCTATAATTCTGGGTGGGCCCCTTCATCTCTGTTGTTATCGGTTATCCTAACTAGGATATCGCCCATAGGGAACTATGGAAAATCATTCCGGAGAGATGGAGGAGGAGGTCTACTGCACACTGTAGGTTTATCACAGCAGGACCAGCAAGAGTGGTGGAAATCATGCTGCTGGATGGATCCCCCACTGACTCACTCCATTAAAGAACTCAGTGCTTGTTTACATCTAGGGACAAAAATAACAAAGATATACTCACCTGAACTTCAGAGCCAGCTGGCTGCTAGAGCGGTACCTGCCGCCTCTCTCTTCCTCCACTCCAGTAATAGAATGTCCTTTGGCATCCTCATGTCCAATACAGTGTATAGGGTGATGACTGACAGGACCTTAGACCGCCAGAGCGGAGGGGGAGAGAGGTTGCAGGGACTGGTCTAGTAGCAAGCTGGCTCCAAGGGTCAGGTGAGTATAACTTTATTTTTGTCCCTAGATGAAAATGAGCACTTAGCCCCACAGCAAGGATAAGGATTATTTCTGCTCAGAGTTCTTCTTTAGGAATTAATAATGTTTTGAGTAGATTTTGCACTGAACAGGGAGTATCGCTTTATCCTGGCTTTATGTCATTAGTATTGGCAAGCTTATAACGCAATGAAGGACACAACTATAATATGTTATTTATGTATTCATCTGAGTGCCATGCATCATGACGCTTCCTACATCCTGTCTGCTTATTCCAGTATCTAGGCTCAGCACAGCCTCACACTTTGTAAAACAATTACATTATCAGACTAGCCAGCTTGTGTGCACGTTCAGCTGTTATATGTGCTGCCAAATGGGAACAATAGGCAAATGGCCTACTAAACTTCTAGCAGCAACTGGTAACTGTGACAATCAAAGTTGTATCTTAGCACACCTGACATAGATACACTGAGAATGGCATGCAATCTTATACTAAAACAAATATACAGCAAAGAATTACAACGCTGTATACAAATTAAGAAGTTTACAATGCTGTATAAGAACTTTCACTTCACAGTTATGTCTTCCGACTACGCCAATGCAATAAAGCAGTGCAAGAAATGTGCAAAATACATGAACCCATAGCAGAAGACCAGATCACTGTGGTCAGGTCAGAGACGACGTCTGGTTGGTTCCTATTATTATATGATTAATATTATAATACAGGATTTATCTAGCGCCAACATTTTGCGCCGTGCTTTACAATATAAGACATTACTGTTACAATACAAATCCAGACAAGATGGTAAGGAGGGCCCTGCCCATGAGAGCTCACAATCTAAAAGGGGATAGAACACTTTATTTTACTCTACATTGCTGTACTGAATACTTTGCAGGTGGTGAATTATGATCCACGGAGAAATTAAACCTAAGCCCTCATCAAAGTTATAAATAAGTACAGGAAACTATTAGCCGAACCAAAGGGCCACCAAGGCTCAGCTCCACAACTGGGAAGTATTCTCCCAGGAATAGCTTTTGTTGTTTACTCAGATGGTATGAGTGTAAGAAACAGGCGGCTTCTAATTGACAGCCAGCAGTGACCAGTCAAAAGGTGGCAGTTTACAGTATACACGGCGCCTTACTAGCACTCTGCCATACCACAGCCTGGCAAAGCTTTTAGCACAGATATTTATCTGCCTCAGCATTTGGTAACTCCCCAGCGTAATTTAGCTTTAGGGCCCATACACACTAGCATCTCTGTCAAAATGCTGCATTTTACTGGATGGGCTAGTGCGTTGTGGCAGCTCTGGCAGTGTGCGTTGTATCGCACACTCCCAGAGCCGTCACAGTTTACATTTTTCTTTCTTTTTCTAACTTTATGTGAAATGTACAATGTATACGCTCCATTCAGGTCCCTGTACAGCAGTGCTTTTTGTCATTTTGCATTTTATCACAGCGCAGTGCCCATTACACCCATGTTGTCGTGGTAATGGGACACCTAGAAAACAATTGTTTTCTATGTGTTCTTGCAGTGACCTTTGTTAAACTGGTGCAGTAAAACGCAGGTCACCACAATATGTGTAAACAATGGTCTACGACTAAAAGGGTTGGTTCACCTTTCTGCATATTTTCCAAAAAGCCCCAATGCTCATGCTATCCCTTTCCCATTGCATAACTCTAGGTCCTGCATGGCTTGTCTACAAAAACCTCTAGGTAGCTGAACCCCCCCTCCATCCTAGCCAAACGGCATGATGGGATATATGTTGGAAGTGCGGCCCCAGCAGCCGCTCCTGCCCCATTCAAACTGCCCATGCGCAGAGTGCTTTCTCTCCCTTTAGCATCAGCGGCTGAGCTCAGCTCACATAGTAAAAGGATTTGGTTAGACTAATACAGGATCATTTAGTTGTAATATAAATGTACCTATGTGCCATTTTATCAAATGTTCCTTTTAAGAAGAAGACTCAGTCATAAGTGGCTTCTTGTAATCATAGCTGTCAGATCCATCAGTACAAATATGCATTGTAGCTGATCTGGCTCTCTGATATTCAGGCTGTAACACAGCTGGAGGGAAGACTTTCTGAACTGCAGGCATAGTTTGCTGGTAAAAGCCATGTTGACTAAGATTTTAACTTGTCTGTTTTAATCATCAACTTTTCAGGACTGTCCTTAAACTTGCCAGGTCACGTCATTATGATTCAAATGTATGACCACTTTCATTAGCACTGTGCATGCATGCTTTCTGTATTGTATGGAAAAAAAATATAGTCATTCCAGAGAGTCTGTACAGCAGCCAGGTACACTTTTGGCACACCTTTTCCAATGAAGTGGCCATGCACACAAGGGGCCCCAGTAGATGAAATTAAACTGAGCGGCTTTTAAAAATACAGATTGCTGTAGATGCCAAGCCTGTAGGCCATTTCTGTCCCTTGAAGTCTGGCTGAAATATTATGATTTTTGTTTACATTCCCATCCTGGCCAGTTTCTGGGATGCTGCAGCCAATGAACGCTCCCAGCATTGCAGCAGAGAGGGTCTGCCTGTTTCAAAAGCCACACAGAGGCACGATACGCACTCTTTCTTGGGTGCTGGAGGATCGGAGCAGAGAGGGGGGAATCCAGCCCCTCCCCTGTCACGGCAGAGAGCCGTGACAGGAAGAGGTGAGCGAACGCCGTTATGTGTTCGCTCACTTCCCGATCTACTGAGCCGAGTGAAAAGCACTCACCTCATAGTTCTCCTTTAACTAAATATACAGTTAAAATACAATAACGAGCAGATTACCTAAAACAAATTCTGTCCATCCAGTCTTGAGATTTACACAAGCTCTGCCACACAGCACAGCTCTCCCTGGCAGGAGCGAGGACCTGATCTTTCTCTGCTGCAGTTTCATTTTCAGGTCTTCTCTCCATCCTGTGGTTAGACATTGGCAGGAGAAGCAGCAGACTGGCGAGTTCATCTCAGATTCTCTGCTCGCTCTTCCTATCAGCATGCTTCTTACACGGCAGGACATTTGGCTACATTGTACTGCTTCTCTCTCCCTCTCCCTGAGCTCTGCTCTGCTCTACATGGACTACAAGGGGCTGATACCAATTCAAAATAAAGGTACATACAGTACTTACATTTAGGAAAACTACATGTAAGAGTGTGCTAATGATTACAGAGCTGTAAAGTGTGTGCCTTTCATAGCTGCCTGGAGTTTAGCAACTGTGTACAAGTTTTCCCCAATAAACCTGTCCGTGAGGATTTATTAGTTTGGTACGATTTCTTCCGTCTACTTTTCCATGTTGTACTGAAAATGTGTACATGAAGCATTAGTGCTGCTTTTCCAAGTCAGCAAAACCCGCTGGGAGAAAATCTACTTCTTGTCTAGTTGACTGCTTTAAACACAATCTCTGCTGTGAGCTGCAGGATCTATTTATGTCAGACGTAAACCATTGACTGCCAGTTAGAGAACCTTGTACCATGACAACAGCTGTGGTTTTTCCATTAAGTATTTGTACTCCTGCAGAGAATAAAATATTGGTTCCTCTAACCCATTAGCAAACCTTTTCCTGGTTTATAAGGGGTAATTTGTTATTCGTTCTTCAATGCTTCCTGTTTTATTTTTCCAGAATGGAATAAATACCAACAGCTTGGGCTGGAATATGAATTGCCTAGATGTTGTTATGTTGTGATAAGTATTCCTGGGGGCATTTCTGCACGGAGGTGATGAAAGCTTCCATCCATGCAGTCTGTAAGGAAATGCATAGGCCACTGCTGTTACATATATTACATGCATATCCTAGGAATACTTCTATTTTAATTCTGACCTATTCTATGCTATGTAAACTTTGGTAAACTGATGCACCTAGGGCCTCATTCACTCAGACACATAAGGCTGTGGAATTGAGGGTGTATTTCTGAACCCAGGATATACAGATACAGTCACTCACATTAGTAGTGAAGCGGTGTAGGTGGTTGTATGAGGGTTTATGCCGCTACTTGCATAAACCCATGCATGTGTAAAAACAAATGCCCCTGGGCACACACTAGCTGTGTCTAGGGTTGCACATCTGTATGCATGTGTGGGTTTTACGCAAGTGGCAGAGTAAACCCACGAACAGTTGCCTACATCCCTATACTGCTATGGGCAGCTGCACATCCTGGGCACAGAAATACTCTTTCAATTTATGTTCTACAGCCTCATGCCCTTGTGTACATGAGACCTTAGGCCCTCTTTCACATGGTCGGTCCGATCGAGTCCACCTGTCAGTTTTTAAGGAGGACCCGATCGGATGCCCAATGCTAATCTATGGGCAGCCGGGTCTAAACAGACAGGCGTCCATTTACACCCACTTACCCCCAAAACCGGGCAGGTCCAGAAAAACAAACAAAACAGTGTTCCATTTCGATGGACCTGATCGTGCTTGATCGAAAGTAATCAGATGTAAAACGGACACATCACAAGATCGAGGAAAAGATAAGACGGGCATGGATGTCACAGCGGTGACATCCGATCTGTAGTGTCCGATCAGAAAGGGATCTTTGCACAGATCCCCTTCTGATCAGCCCGTGTGAAAGGGGCCTTAGAGATGTAAAGGCATTAAAAAAAAAAAAAAATTGTTCTGTTGTTTCAAATGTCAGAGCCGTTAAGAACTCTAAATATTACTTTGTAACAATTGTTTCTTGGTTTCAGGAAGCCGAGTAAAAAAAGGACACAACCAGGGTAAGGTTCAGTTGGCACCTGCCCTGCTTATGAAAGAAAAAAGTGTGCTTTAAAATAAAGTGCACGTTAACTTTTGGTCCCTTTAAGATTATGTCATTGACCCCTCCCTCCCCCTGCCATAAATAGGTAGCTAAGAGGCTGCCCGTTTGTCCCAAAGGAATTGCTCCCTCTGTAGCTGAGGTGCGGAGATGTTGCCCCATCACTAGCAATTGAGAATCAGCAGAGTTCAGGCCAGCGAGAGAGCGGCATCATGCTGCAATCTGGTTACAGAGGGAGCGGTTCCTAAGAGGCAGACGGGCAGCTTTTTCAGAGATCCTGCCACTGGCTTTTTGTCTCTAGCGGCAGAAGCAATTGTCTGACAGCCTAAGGGGTCACTACAGGACATACAAGTCAGTGGGAGGCATCACACAACATGGCGGGTATTTGCAAGGTTCAGTAACGTGGCAGCGTTTTAACACTCCGGCCACCAGAATGTTTAGCCATTTGAAAGGGGAAATGGTGGCATCCAATGGGGGACAAACTGAGCCAGACTGGAGCAGAGTTTTTACTCACTTAAAATACAACACTGAGTAGAAAAAATCCTATTTGGCAGCATTTTCTGTACATATTGGCAATAGAAAGGGTGATTCTAAATGGTGAAGGGCACCCTGGGCGCAGAAGAATCCATGTAAACATGCGCTGGCAGCTCTCCGCTGGAGTCGGTCCAGTACCACTAGAGTACTGACAACTGCTCTTTAAAAGTGAAGAGAGCAGATCTATCAAAGTACTGGAACAAATAAGACCCTGTCAGCTACAGCATGATCACTAGGAAGAATTAACTCATGCGGGTCCTACTGTTTGAATTTTAAGTATGATTGTTAGCCCCATCCTAAAGTGACACTAAAGTCAGGTGTTAAATATCTGTAGTCCAACATTAGAGTGAGCTTGGAGTGGTGGCTACACTCAGGGACCATGGGGAACAGCGGTGGCTACACACAGGGCACAGAGAGTCAGAGCATCAGAAGTAGCAGTGGCTACACACAGGGACCATGGGGGAGAAAAGTAGCCACCCTCCAGAAGGAAGGACAGTGCCAGCACCAATTCAGAGATGATTTGAGGATCTACAGCCGAGTGATACACAAATAAGATACATTTTTGTTAATAGTTAAGGCACTTGAATGTATTTTTAAGATTTAGCTCCTGAGTTTAGTGTCACTTTAACCTCATAATTTGAACAGAAAGTGTCGTCTTGAAACTTTGCTGCAATTATCTGACCAATCTAGATGCATGTTGTTTAGCAAAAGACTCTCAGAATGTTCTGCCACAGTACTGTCATGCACATCATTCCTGTCATATCACTATTGTGTTACAGTTTCTGGAAGGAAATAAAGGGATTATGACAGGTCATCATGAAACAAAGGCTTTACATGTAAATACTACATTTTAAGAAAACAGCTTTATTCTATTTTTTAAAACTAGGAGGTCATGATGAAAAAAAAATGTATGCACACCAAACCATAGTATGAATATCAGACAAGTGCAAGGGGAGGGGAAAGAAAGATATCTGATTTTGAAGGAAATCAGTATTAACAGAAATAGGGAGCATGCTATCACTGAAGAATCTGTTTGGCCATCTCTGACTTTAATTATTATTATACAGCATTGATATAGTGCCAACTGTTTATGCATCGCTTTTACAAAATAAAGGGATACAGTACAGGAGAGACAAACATGCAGAGTATAAAGCTGGCCATACACTAGTCATTTTCTCTTGTTCAGCATGTGTATGCGGAAATCCTTCCCACCATTGTATTCTGAGAGAATACCCGAACAGTGACTGCAACTGATTGGGCGACTGCAGATGTTCGGACTAGAATTTTTGGCCCGTCTCCTTCAACAAAAGTTGACGTCTGCCGAACGGAGTGCATCTGAATGGGTGGCTACAGAGGGAGGAGGAATGATTTGTAGCCACAGGCAGAATGGAAATTAATGCAGGGAAGGTTCTCAGAAATGACTCTAAACAGGGTGGATAATAAATCGATGATTTAAAAAAAAACAAAAAACGATTTTTTTAAATTTAAAATCTGATTTTTTTATCAAATGTATTTTAATAAAATGCTTTTGGAGTAAAAATCTATCTAAAAGATAGTTTTCTATTTAAGATACATTAATAATTTAGTTTATTCAGCATGAAATGGAGCTTAGTTATGTAGCATGAGGCTGTATATTCTGCAATATTTACATTTTTGGTGAACTCATTCAATGAATCCAAGCTCTGCAAGCGGAGATAACATGCATTGCATTGATGCATTACTAAACATTGATGTTTAAGTAAATACAAAAATATGCAACATAATGTTATTGTATTAATTAAAGAATTTGAGTAGTTCTCAAACTATGTGCGATTAACCTAAAATCGGGTCTGATATCGCTGTTTTACTAACCTGACAGCTTATTATTCTAAAATAGGAAACCTTCATTTTGTTTGCAAATAATATTAAAGATTCTTACTACCAGCAAGAAATGAGTCCTTACATTTAAAGAGCACTTAGCGGGCATCCACTCACCTGCTGCCTGCCACGTCCCTCACCTTGTTGTGTCACTGCCGCATCACCAGCCGTCCCATTAAAGTGAATGGGACTGTCGGTGAGTCAACAGCGGGTCAGAGGAGGAGCCGCTGCGGGACAGAGATGACAGTTGCGCTTTAAAAATTATGACTTAAAATCGAGATGACTTAACCCCTTCGTGACGGGAGACGTACACTGTACGTCCAGCCACAAAGGGACCAAATGACTTGTCACGTACACTGTACGTGACGAGTTATTTGCTTCTTTGGGGCTGTTAGGGCTGTTAAATAATCACACAGCAAAAATGTCAAAAGTGTGTCAGTCATTTACGAACAGAAACTAAAAACAAGCTCAGTCATGAAGGGGTTAAATCAAGCCTTTTTACTAGTGATTTAAATTAGGGCTGCAACAACTAAAATCGACATAATCGATTATAATCGATGATTGAAAAAGTTGTCAACTTTTTCAATCATCGATTAATCGGCTTCCGATCGGTTGGCCCTGTTCACGGCTACACACACGCTGTGCGCCACACCGCCTCCCGCTCACCGCTGCCAGACCCGCCCGCATCCACGCTCCACACGCCGCACCTCCTCCATGCCTCACGCTCACCGCCCAAATCCACGATCAGCAAAGCTGCCGATAGACAGGTCCAATCACAGAAACAAGTTGCTGGAAAACTGCAGTTTCCTACACATGGTGCTCTATAATGTATTGCTGGGATTTGTATTCCTCTATAGCTCTAATTTAAAATCGACTTGATTTAAATCAAATCCACCCTGATTCTAAAGTATATATGGGTACAAAAGGTGCACAGAGTTTTAAAGAAACAAAAACAAAAAAAGAGGATTAAAGAGCATATATGTATTTGTTATTTTATTTTCTGACTCTACATATGCTTGAAAGCAAGTTGAAAGTTCTTATAAAGAATCGAAACATTCTGAAACCAGAACACACAAGTTAGGAAAAATATATGCAAACTACTTTCAATGGACTACAAGGGTTGAAAACTTTACACAAAATAGAGTAAGATGAATCAGAGTATGACATTACCTGTTCCATTTAGTGTACCATTTTTATTGGTATATTGTCTCAGCATATGCCCGATGGTTCGAACGTTGTCTCGTAGCATTATGCCTTGAGCTTGCACCATGAAGAGGTAGGTATTTGCTGAAAATAAACAAAAACACCGGACATCAGACTGACAGCAATGTAAGAAAAAAAACTTAAATTAGGAATGCTGCATACTTAAAGTATTTGACACCTAGGGCTGTTCTACAGTAGACGACAACAGTGCTTTCATTAATAATTAGGACATAAATAGGAATGATAATAGCAATGCTCAGAAAAACACAGACTATTAAAATTGCAATGTTTCCTCACATTGGTGTTCTTTGGAGAAGTGCTCCCTTAACCACTTGCTGCCCGGAGCAATTTCTTACATTTACACACATATGATAAAATCTGAATTTCTGGCTAGAAAACAGCTTCAGACACTTAAACAATTATATATTTTCTGAAAGCAGAGGCCCCGTAGAATAAAAAGATGCTAGTTGCATTTTTTTATGTTGCACGGTATTTGTGCAAATGTTTATCAAACACGTATTTTTAGGATAAAATACACTAAAATGAAATTTAGTGCACAGAAACAGAATATAATGCCCAATTTTTTGGTAAAATATAAAAGACGGGGTCATGCCGGGTAAATAGATACCAAACATGTCAAGCCTTAAAATTGCATGCGTCCGCGAAACCGCAACAAAACTACAATAACCAAAATTTCCCATAGGTGAAGCTTTTAACACTTTTACGGCTCATCAGTTTAGTGTTAACAGTGATTGATGGGCCTAGAATTATTGCTCTCACGCCGACGCTCGCGATGATATGCAACATATGTGGCGCAATTTTTGTTTTTGCACGTAGGCGCATCCGACGCGTTTTTGCGTTGTTTGTGCGTGCACGTGGGGGCCGGGGGACTTTAAACATTTTTTTTGTATTTTAACTTTTTTTTTATGTTACTTTAATTTTTACACTCTGCTTTATTGCTATTGCATAGAGGGCTAACAAGCCTCCTATGTAATATCAAATACAATGGGACAGGTCCTCTTTATGGAGACATCAGGGGTCTTTCAGACCGCTAATGTCACCCAGGGATCCCAAAGAAGCTGATAAAGCAGAGATCTGCTTCACCAGCTTCTTCTTCTTCTGGCTCTAGGAGCTGGAGAATGTGCCCAGTGACACCGGAAGTGATGTAATGCACATCACTTCCGGGTCCAGTGAG